TATCCTGGGTACATGTACAATACTGAAAGAATAGTGGTCAGGATTTCTAAATCACTTTGACATACATGTATCCATGGTATTTGAGATATCAGTGTTTGAGATACCAAAGTTCAACTGTAGTTTAATTCTCTTGTATGGTTTAAAATTGTAAATCATTTCATCTTGTGGTATTTAAAAGAATTTGTAAATCTGTGTAATGTCATAGTTAACATTCCCATATAAATTAGGCCCTGCCTTCTTTTTGTAGCCTTTACTGTGCTGCATAAATAGTGGCAGTTTATGTTGGAAAAAATGACTTTCCTGATAATCAACACGTTGAGTTTTAAATGTAGGCTGTAGCAACTTTTGTTTGACCAAGTTACCGTCAAGGCTGATGCTGAAAAAAATATCATACCATGTCAGGATCGCAACATCGACAGAAGTCTCTGATGAGACTGTAGTTCTACTGGTTTGAACTTATAACGAAGGAAGAGAAAAGTAGCACTTGCAACAGCAATAAATAGAATAATGATCCTTGGTTTAGTCTCTTTCTGTGGCAAAATTTATTGCAATCACAATAAAATTGTAGGAGGAAGAGCCTTTTAAAAGAATTTTTTAGAAATTTCAATATTTTTGTTCTCTATCAGCAGATTTCCTCACCAATATATTCCTATGTAAAATTAAGATAATATATTATAGCCTCATAATACCTTAGCCCCATTCTACCCTCAGGTGTCATGATTTGAACAAACTTAAATCTGAGGATGCTTCCCATTTTCAAATATATTTTTATGTTATACTTTGTTGCCCATTTGTTGACCTTGTATTCTACACAACCTGAGGATGCTTCCATATGAATATGATTATTCATATTCATGGGTTTCCTATTCTTGAGAAGAAGGTTTTTGAAGATTTTTTCTTATTTATTCCTATGTAAAACTTTGATCACCCAGAGTACCTCAACCTACTCCCAGGTGTCATTATTTGAATAAACTTGAATCTACACCACATATGGATGCTTCCATTTAAATATGACTGATCATGGCTTTGCTGTTATATATATACAGGTGACTCTCGATCTCTCGAAGTTCAAGGGACCGCAAGAAAAGTTCGAGAGATCGAGGGGTTCAAGAGATAGAAAGTGAATAAAATCCGGAATTTTCAGTTCCGATCATCATTGTTCTACTATTATAAAAACCGGAAGTATATGTTGATTATATCATTGCACGTTTTCATTCGTATTTTACAGGTATGCACTTGATTTCAACAACAACGATCGTATTTTCAATAAATAAAACGATGTCTTTAAGTTTCAATATTTATTTGTTTTCATTTCATGATTACATAAAACCTGAATAGCAATGGTCGGTGTGGCTACCCCCCGGGCTTGATCGGGTACTTTACCAGATTTCTCGTATTAAATCGGTATTTAATTCTTGAGATAGGATTTCTTGTGCAATGTTTGTCATACTGGGATTATGTACATTCTAATAAAACTTCATAATCCATGGGAAATTATTGACATGCCTCTTAAATTATTTTCTAAAAATTTTCGTCGCGCTGTAAAGTCAAAAATAAGTTGAGAAGCAATTTGTTTGTAATTTACCAATTATAACTAATTAATTATTTATATCAACACTCGGATGCTCACAGGTATAGTGTCGTCTATGTAAACACCCAATTAACACCTCCATGCCAGCCCCAGTCGTTCACTGTTATCCAGGTAAGTCCAAGCTGCATTAATTTACGCCTGATTGGCGTGTACACACGCACAATCAAAACTTCGAGAGATAGAGAGTAAAAAACAATGAAATGTGTGTAACGGGACCCAGGTCTTGGTTCAAGAGATAGAGAACTTCGAGAGATTGGAAGTTCGAGAGATCGGAAGTAAATTTGCTTAGTTATATAGAGGAAGAAAACGGGACCGGAGGTTCACTTCGAGAGATCAAGAACTTCGAGAGTCATCTGTATATGTAAAACTTTGATCACTCATAGTAGCACCACCCTACCTCCAGGGGTCATGATTTTACAAAATTTGAATCTACACTATGTCAGGAAGCTTTCACATGATATTTTATCTTTTCTGGCTCTGTGGTTCTTGAGAAGATTTTTTAATGATGCCACCCTAGTTTTACTTTTTCTTAATTATCTCCCCTTTGAAGAGGGTGTGGCCCTTCATTTGAACAAAATTGAACCCCCTTTACCCATGGATACTCTGTGACAAGTTTGGTTGAAATTGGCCATATGGTTCTGGAGAAGAAGATGAAATTGACAACAACAAGGATGACAAGGACAGAAAACGGACAAATTTTGATCAGAAAAGCTCACTTGAGCCTTCTGCTCAGGTAGACTAAAAAATACAATTTCTTTTGATTATGTATTTTAGAGAGTCTTTCAGGATGTAATAATATTATCTTTTTTTTTATGATCGATTATAATTTTTCATAATCGATCATCAGAAACATACATCTAATACAATACATTCAGGAATATTATCCATTTCTGGTTTAAAATTTATTTCTTCTCAGTAAAAGAAAATGGTGTCTGCATCTGAAACTAACCAACTAGCACAAAGCATAGGTGATTAAGAACCGAAAGATGCATATATAGGGCCTAAAAAATTATATTTGTTTTCTATAACCCAACCAACCCATTCAACTTACCCCCGGATGGATTTTTTTCCTGCCAAATCTGTGTTTGCTCTTTGGTTTGATCAATCAGCTGATTCTTTTTATTCAAAAAATATTAATTGTATCTTTTATATGAGATATAAACTATGCAACTTAGTCAACATTTACCTTAAATATAAAGATTAATCAATTCCCCCCACAACTATTTGAAGTTTGTTTTCTGCCGCTAGGCAGCCATGTTGGGTGTCCACTGTAAATATAACACCTGGACAATTCAATCCCGGTAAGTTTGACCCCATTATTCATAAGCAAAAAAAAAAAAATTCCCACCTACAGACCCTTGATTTTTTGGGAATGTTACGGGAAACAAACAAACATAATTTTTTTTTAGGCCTAGAAAGCGTAAAAGAAGCAAAACAACAAAGAAAATACAACAAAGAAAATAATATATTATATATTTTATATATTCATGGCCCATGGGCCACATCGCTCACCTGAGCACATTTGCTAGGCAAAAGCACAAATCAGTTCAGTATTGAAAAGATTACCGAGGGGGGGGGGGGGGGGCTTGAATTTTAAACTGCCTGATGATGCTTCCATGTCAATATAACAAATGGCTTTGTTGTACTTGAGAAGATTTCAAAAAAAAAATCTCATTATCACAGGGTTTTAAACTAACCTATAATCCTTGATAGCCATGTGGGCTACTGAACCTTGCAATTCTGGGGCCCACATCAAAATTTATTCGCCCACAGATTATCACACCTTCTACTGAATAAAAAAACAACCCCATTTTTCTTTCCTATTTTTTTTATCATGTGCTTCATGTTTCTTTTCTATCATTCTATCATTTTCTATCATTGTAACATTACGCACGACTTATCTAAATTTGAAGTGGAACTCTTCTGTTTATGAAGATTGATATGATCATTCAATATCATAAATAGAGCACATTGCATGTTTTCATTCACAAAAAACAACAGTACTTTTTGGTTTCTTGGGCTCAATAACCCGTCGATGCCACATTGTGCCCGACACAATCACTTAGACGCTTTATGTATAAGAACCTCTTACGGGTAATTATAAAGCACTTTACTGATTACGAAATTTTTCAAGAGAAAAATACAAAACATTCAGACAAAATTGAAAAACAAATATTTATTATCGTAAATTTTCTTATGCTATGTGGGCAACTTGAACGTAATTTTAAGTCGCCCACATGGAACATTAGTCACAAATTGCGAGTGGGCGACTGTTAATTTCAAACCCTGACATATATTCCTTTGTAAAAATTTGATCCCCATTGTGGCTCCTCCCTATCCCAGGGGTCGTGATTTGAGCAAACTTGAATCTACACTACCTGAGGATGCTTCTATATATATATGATCAATCAGGGCTTTGCTGTTCCTGAGAAGAAGATTTTTAAAATTTTCCTATATATTTGTATGTAAAACTTTGATCCTCCATTGTGGCCCCGCCCTACCCCCTGGGGTCATGATTTGAACAAACTTGAATCTACACTACCTGAGGATGCTTCCAAATAAATATGACTAGACATAGCTTTTCTGTTCTTGAGAAGAAGATTTTTAAAGACTTTTCCTTTATATTTCAATGTAAAACTTTGATCCTCCATTGTAGCCCCGCCCTACCCCCTGGGGTCATGATTTGAACAAACTTTAATCTTCACTACCTGAGGATGCTTCCATATAAATATGACTCATCATGGCTTTGCTGTTCTTGAGAAGAAGTTTTTAAATGTTTCCTGTATATTTCTATGTAAAACTTTGATCCTCCATTGTGGCCCCGCCCTACCCCCAAGGGTCATGATTTGAACAAACTTGAATCTACACTACCTGAGGATGCTTCCACATGAGTTTCATCTTTCCTGGCCCTGTGGTTCTTGAGCAGAAGATTTTTAAAAGATGCTATTAATTTTTCACTAATTCTTTATTATCTCCCCTTGAAAGAGGGCATGACCCTTCATTTGAACAAACTTGAATCCCCTTCACCCAAGGATACTTTGTGGCAAGTTTGGTTGAAATTGGCCCAGTAGTTCTGGAAAAGAAGATGAAATTGTGAAAAGTTAACAATGAAACTGCCGACACCGGCGACAACGACAGACAACGGACAAATTTTGATCAGAAAAGCTCACTTGAGCCTTCGGCTCAGGTGAGTTAAAAATTGTAATAGTCTGTTTTTTGTATACAAAACTATGAAATCTGATTATAATTGGTAAAATCGCATTGGAAGCAGTAACCGATTCCAACCAATGATCGATTATGAAAATTAACCGTTGTCCCATCACTAGTGTCATGTCATGTGATTAGCTTCTAACCAATCAGTTATCTACAAATTTGCCTGAAGCAGGATAAAGAAGGATATATACTATACCTGCTTCTGTAAATGGCCAAGGTCCTTGTACAAATGCACACCATATGCACAGAAAACACACAACAACGGCATGTACAGCTGTAACTGTACGACAATGCCATTCATTGCTTTTATGTGGTTTCCAGTGGCACAATCCAAAATACAGGGTACACCAAAGTAGAGAAAATCCACTGACAATGGACATAGAGTTCTCCATCTCTGAAATTTAGATGCTTGTTTTATCAGTTCATTATCAAATGTGTGGACTGTATATATAAAAGTGGGAGTTTAGACCCACTGTTTACATATAGTTGATACCTGAAGATATAATTCAAAACAAATCTTATGTTATCATTTATCACAATCAAGATTCACTCTGAATGCAAATAAATAATATATATATACAGTCATGAACATGTGCAATGTTGAATATCAATCAGGGTTTGACATTAACTTTTACAAGTACTAGACCAGTCGGGCTACTTCCCATAATTTTTACTAGCCCTGATCATAAACTCACTAGCCCTGAACAAACTTGCAAATTTACTTCTTTTAATCCAGAATTTTAATGAGGTAACTTTTGAAACCTTATTAATGAAAGAAAAAGTGAGCACGCTCACATACCCCATGCTCCCCATAAACTCGACAATGCAACACGTAATGAATGGCACAGTGCATTTTAAATACACAGTATAATTCAAAAAGGGGCATTACTTGCAAAAAATCATCACATCAAAACTTCTTGCATATAAGGACATTCAAATCTTTGTATGTTACAAATTTAATTGGGCTGAAGTTTCTAGATAAATAATGGATTAAAAATTTCTTGGTAATATACAAATCTATACATTATGTCTGAAATACCTTCAAAGTTTCAGGAAATTGTTATTTAAATTCCTCAGTGATTTCGATTTGTTAATGAGTGTAAGTCCATGTCCAACACATGACAATTTACACATTTAAATAATTGATGGAAACAAAATTATGATGTATAGTCATATGAATTTGTTTATATACTGTACTTATGAAATTATTTAAGGCAAAGCACCAATTTGAGGGGGGGGGGGGGGGGGGGGAGAGAACTATCCAAGATTTTGTGTGTGTGTGTCAAATCATTAATATTTTGATCTAAAAATCAATAGGGGTCTTTTAAGGTCATAAGATATTTCACATAAAATTTCATTACAAAAGCTGATTCCAGTGGATTTCCTTATTACCTAGCTGGAAAGTTTCTTCAATAATAGACAAAACTATTAAGGCAAAAATAATGGAATCAGAATTTCCTGGTAATATTCACATCTATACACTGTGTACTAAATATCTGCAAAGTTTAACCAAATTCTGTGCAGTGGTTTAAGAGGAGTTGCACTAAAAAAACTGTTCATTTCTATATTCAAGATATGGCAAAAAATCTAAGTTGAAAAGTGCAGAAATTCCCACAAAAAATAAAGGAATTGGAACTTCCTGGTAATATGCACATCTACACATTGTGTGCTAAATATCTGCAAAGTTTAACCAAATTCTGTGCAGCGGTTTAAGAGGAGTTGCACTAAAAAAAACTGTTCATCTCTATATTCAAGATATGGCAAAAAATCTAAGTTGAAAAGTGCCGAAATTCCCACAAAAAATAAAGGAATCAGAATTTCTTGGCAATATGCACATCTACACATTGTGTGCTAAATATCTGCAAAGTTTGACGAAATTCTGTGCAGCAGTTTATGAGAAGTTGCGATGACAAACTGTTCATCTCTATATTCAAGATATGGCAAAAAATCTAAGTTGAAAAGTGCCGAAATTCCCAGAAAAAATAAAGGAATCAGAATTTCTTGGCAATATGCACATCTATACATTGTGTGCTAAATATCTGCAAAGTTTGATGAAATTCTGTGCAGCCGTTTATGAGGAGTTGTGCTGACAAAAAACATGACTGACGGACTGACTGATTGACACACTGACTGACTGACTGACGGATGGGTCAAAAACTACCTCACGCAACTTGTTGCGTGGGGTATAATAAAGACATCATATTTTGCTTGTCAATATTTTTGACAGACTATTCGATAGGTCAATTGAGTTGGGTTCATCGGGACATTCGAGTATTACAAGCCTTAAGAAACATTCAACAAACTTTTATAAAATAATTATTGTAAATAGTAATAGATTAATTCAAAACTATACCATACGTAACTATTTATACCATATTGATACTTAACAAAAGCAGTTTCGACCTCGACTTCTCTATTACAACCTTGCCTAAAAATAGTGATTGTGTCATGTGAGGATTTTTTTTTTCTTCACCACAGCGATGACTTCGGTTAAATGAGAAAATTTCTTTAAAAGTTTTTAGATTATTTATTTGAAAGACTGAAATGGGAATTTATCCGTTATTTTATCAACACGACCAATCGGTCTAGTTCACGTACATTTTACACAACTGGACCTCTCATTTACTAGACTAGGCCAGTCGGGTTTGACACTAAGGATGTGCCTTAGTGTCAAACCCTGTCAATTCACATAGGAAAAAAAGAAATGCAAATTAATTGAATTTCATTTAATTGTTTTATATTACATGTATGATAGTTTTCAAAATTTATTTTATGCCCCTGTAATCGAAGATTTGGGGGCATATAGTTCTTGCCTTGTCGGTCAATCTTTGGTCTTTAACCTTGCTCATAACTTTTATGTTTTTTCAGCTAAACAAACACAGTCTTTGATCGGCGAATATGCCATGAAGCATGGCAGTTGAGAGGCAATCAGCTGATGATCAATTTTCATGTACTCATGTAATTTTGGGAATTCCCTAAATATTATTATAGGTAGGTAGGTCGGTATTTTCATTCATATGTCGACTCTCAACTCGACATATCCCAGTGATTTTGAAATAAAAATACAAGATACCACAGAGTCTGCCACATCTGTTTCATACTTGGATGTTTTACTGACTATAGATGATAAAAGCCAATTAGAATGACCCTAATAGTTTTAAAGGTTTGCGAAAACTTTGAAGTGGATTTCCAACGATATTTTTTTTTCAAACAAATTGTAAAATATGAATCATTTTAATCAAATTTTATGAAAAAGATTATAATAACAAATAAACACCTGATAATTCCAAGCTAAGAAAGTATCTTTAAAGTCATTTAGTTAAAATGTTGTCTGAAAGTAGAAACCAGTCATCCCAAATTCAGACTTTATGTCAGGATTCAAGTGACCCAATTTTGTATGACTAAATAGTTATTTCTTTCTATGTTGTATTGTATCATGCAGAGCCTTTTTGCTTATTACCATAGGTTTTAGTAATACATGTAAGTGTAACGCTAAAGCCATTTCCACACAACTTACGCAGAAGTATCAATACATAAACAGAGATATTCTGAATCACATGGCCAAAGTGTACGAAATTACCTGTACCGTTCTTTACCCTATATACGGGTACTACTAAAATAGAGCAGGGTTTGACACTAATTAAGGCACGTCCGACTGACCCAGTCTAGTAGATAAGTGGTCCTGTCATGTAAAATGTACATGAACTAGACCAATTGGTCATGTTAATAAAACTACTGTTAAAACCCATTTCAGTCTTTCAAATAAATATTCTAAAAACTTTTAAAGAATTTTTCTTAGTTTTTCCGATTGTAAACACAGCTATTGCTCTGTAAAGAAAAAAAATCCCTGTATGACACAATCGCTATTTTTAGCCACGGCTGTAATAGACAAACCGCGATAGAAACTAGCGTCGTTCAGTATCAATATGGTATAAATAGTTCCTGAAAAAATACGAGGGGCATTTCAAAAGTTCTGGCAACTGGTATATAAAATTTTAACTATGTTACGGATTAAAATGACTCTGATACCACTGTAAAGCTTAGGCAAATATGCATTAGTAGTGACGTCATTTTACATTCAAAATGACGTATAGGTCTGCTAAAATGACGTCATAATTAGGTATACTCTGTATACTGGGCGTAAAAATGACTGATAAGGAGAACAACTTTTTTGTTGAGGAAAGAGCGTATTGCAAAATTTGCTCATTGCTTGGCTTTACGGCAACAGAAAAAAAAGCCGATGTAGATGTAGTATATAGAGAGCATGCTCTTTCATATGGAGCAATAGCAAGATGGGTAGTTCAATTTAAAGAGGGTAGAAAATCAATTGAAGATGACCCCTGTTCGGGGCGTCCAGTTTGTGCATATGGCGAAAAAGAAATTGTCGCTGTTCAAAATACGATAGCTGATGATGCTAGATATACAGCTGAGGAAATAGCAGACTTAACTAACATTAATTCGTCAGCAGTTTTTCATATTTTAAAGGAAAACTTAAAGCTTAGGAAAGTCTGTGCTAGATGGGTGCCACATCTTCTCTCGGAAGAGCAAAAGCGCATTCGGGTAGAAATGGCTTCACAGTTACTAACAATTTATGAAGATTGTGACCAAAGGCGAATAAATGAGATTGTAACTGTTGATGAAACATGGATATATTTTTTTGAAACGGAAACTAAGCTCAATAATAAAGTTTGGATCGGTGAAAATGATACAAGGCATCAAATTGCACACAGAAACCGGTCTGTCCAGAGAGTAATGTACACCTTATTTTTTTATTCTAAAGGTCCTGTTGCTCAAGTTCCGGTTCCAGAACACAGCAGTGTTACTGGTCAATTTTATGCAGAGAATGTCTTGTCTCAGGTTGTAGAGCACTATAAAACGACCCGACCAACAACCAGAACTAGAGGAATAAAGCTCCTCCATGACAACGCACCTGCCCATAGATCAGAGGTAGTAACCAAATATTTAAAGGAAAATGGTATTGCCGTTTTACCACATCCACCTTACAGTCCTGACCTAGCTCCATGCGATTTTTGGTTGAATGCCGTTATCTAAGAAGCCCTCCGAGGATGGCGATTTGAAAGTCGTCATGCAGTCGGAAGTGCCGTATTCCAGTTTATGAAGTGTATACCGAAAGAGGACTATAGGGCAGCATTTTCTACGTGGATTTCAAGACTGAAAAAGTGTGTCCAGGTCAACGGAGACTATTTTGAGGGATTGATATAATTTAATTTATGATAATGACGCTAATTAATTTACCGCACACCAGTTGTCAGAACTTTTGAAATGCCCCTCATATATTCTGCAATTAATTTATTAATATTTTGGACACAAAAAATTATTAAAGTTCGTTGAATGATCTTTAAAGCTTACAATACTCGCATGTCTTGATGAACCCGACTCAACTGGCTAGTTTAAAACAATTTCAAAATTACCTCGTTAAAATTAGCGATTTAAAAAAAAATTGCAGGTTTGGTCAGGGCTAGTGATTTTACAGTCAGGGCTAGTAAAAATTATTGGAAGTAGCCTGACTGGTCTAGTACTCGTAAAAGTTAATGTCAAACCCTTTAGAGTACTTTAGAGTATGCTGATAAAATAATAGAATTTAATGCAATAATTTGGGTTCTTTATTCATATTTAACTTTAATAAATATTTTTATAAAATAATATTATGGTAATTTTTTTTCAAATATTTGGCATTTAGCTAATTTTGTCCAGTAAACAAATGTATTGAAAAACAAATATGGTATCCCGATCCCGATTTTCATTTAGCTTGCAGTACTGAGCGACACATCAAGGACTATGTTTCCTTTAAATTCAGTGTTTTTTTTTTAAAAAGAAAATATACTTTTTTCCTATATTTCTGTGTTTAATTGTATTTTTTGTTCTGTTTTTTTTCTTTCGGGTTCAAGTTCAAACGATAAACTGTAACCTGGAACAATAACTTGAAATAATAGATAGTTTTCATATGACACATTTTCTCTCCGAGTTATTTCCCTTGGCCGCCATCTTGGTGGTCATCCTGGTAATTTTTCCTCTTTGTCTTACCAAATTTAAGAGGGTGTAGAAGAGATATTTGGGGGGAAATCTTTATAGAATTGAATTGAATTGAATTACAGAATAAAAATTATGAGATAAAGGGGGCTTTAACAAATGTATATTTTTCAGAAAAATAATGCTTCCCACCCCGCAATGGCCAGTATAAAAAGTTAAAGTTGGTTGAATAATGAAGGAATATGAGCATGTTGACCCCCAATATGGTGGCCAACGGGAAATAACTCTTGCTAATTTAGGCCTACTGAAAACTATCTATTCAATAAATAATGGTAACAGAGAGAAATGCTTTAAGATATATATATTCATTTTATTAAACTAAAGTAAAAAAAAACATACAGAAAGCTGTTTAAGTGCATTAAATTCTATTATTTTACCATTTTACTCTAAAGTACTCTAGCGTACTCTGTTTAGTAGGACCGCCCTTTATACACTAATACAGTCTGTTATTTGTTGGTTACCTAGCTCGAGAAGCATTTAACAAAATAAATACATTACCGGGGTTAAATTCAGTGAAAAAACATTGTACATTAAAAAATGTGTATATTTGTTTGCAAAAATGAGTGCACAAAGCGTACTGAGGGGTTTGGGGTGCCCTTCCTTGTTGACCGAATCTTTTACAAAATGTAATTTCGTCTCGACTATCTCCACAGGGAGAAAGTTCTATTCTCCCTATTCCTTCATATTAACTTTTATGTAGATTTTTCCTTTTGTTATTACTTTTCTTTATAGAATTCTTTCTATGTGCAAGTTTTATCTGTTAATTATAAAGATAAACACTTCCACAAAACCATTAACCATGCAATATTCTGAATGTTTACCTTGCCGCTGCCATCAACAAAGTTCCGGAAGTTTTGTAATTACTGGACTCGATACCATGAATAATGAAAATTCCGGATTTTTTCGTATTACTGCTTTTAGTATTTTTACGCTTTACTATTGAAATATATAGAAAAATGACCTTTTTAAGCCAATTTTGTGGAAAGAGTTTCTTTAAGAAAGGTTGGATAACTTTTTAAAGACGAATTAGTCAGGGATTTCAAAATATCAAGATGAGGTAAAATTAAAACTACTGAGATAAAAACAAAAATCAATTTGTCTTCTCGCTAGTTTTTTTTTTTTTTTTTGCTAAATAATTTCAAAGTTTGCTTTTATATTGCCAAACTGTTGCGTTTATGGCGTTATTTATGATTACACCGTCACGTGTTGAACGTAATAATTATCACATTTACATACGAGTATAAATACTCGTATCTTTACATTTGGAATATGCAAGATTTAAAAGGTGACATAGTTGCAAAATGTAATTTTATTCATCATTTCACTTATTGCGGAAACATGTTAGGATGACCAGCAGCTTATTTACACTAATATTGTGAAATTCATATTCTGCCCACAAAGTCAGAATGAACGGTATATTTCAAAAACATTTCTCGTGTATTAGAAATTAACATGCAGCGAAAAAACGGAGAGTGATAAAATATTAATTAATGTATTTTTAGGATGTTCATGTTCAGTAAGATTTCAGGCATAACACATGGAATTGATCACTTCATTAGAAAACAGTGAAGAAAAAACATCCCAATACTGAGAAAAATGGGTGGGGTGGGGGGTTTACCGGCAATGTTCTTCCTATATCATGTACAGTATATTATAGTCGCAAGCTGGTATATAGCCCTAACTCTCAAACATTTCTTAGTTTCGAATTTTCTCAATCAAATTTCCATACGCAAAATGTAAAACACTTGCATTTAGCTTATACACCGAGAACCTTTCCTATATAGAAAGAAATGTACTTGATACTTGTAAATTGCTTACAGTGTCATGTAGGTCTGATAGTCCGGGTGTTTGTTTAAATTTATTTTTTAAATGCATTTCACAATTTGTTAGCCTGCATCTACCGGTACATAGCGACTACAAAGACTCAAATACAAAATAAACAAATAATAACTATGATGATTGAAATAATAATAATAAATAACAGGAAAATACATGTACTGTAATTAAATTTCATCCGTTTTTAGTGTTGAGGATTGATTTCATCCTGAAAAAGTTTCGCCCCGGCAAATATGGTAACGGTGTAATACGCACTTCGATCCTTTGAGGTGCAAATTACGTGCGCACATACAACCCTTCAAGTTTTTGGCTAAGAAATTTACGCTAATTTTCTTTTTGCATACCATAACTGACTCATTTTGATTGACTTTTAGCAGTTTAGTAACACTTACAATATAAATTATTCCTTTCATTTGGTATTGTATTTAGTTTGTTCTAAGGTATTACGAGGGGTGATCAAAAAGTTCGCGAACTAATTAAATTACTTCCTTAAAAGAAAAAAAAATGAGGTTTTAGTGTTCATCTATACTACTATATTAAAATAATAGACTCGAATTTTTGGCCTTTAATACCGATAAATCGGAAGAGTACTGTCTTTTGTTTTATATATTTTAAACATCATTGGTACTTGAAGATTACCAATTTGTTTTTATTTTTTCTCAATTAAGTTTCGCTAATTAATAATCAACGAAAATTCCTCAAAAAAATCCGGAAATCATATGGATTTTTTGGATTTTACAATCTTGCGCGTGCGCATTACATTCACGCTAAATCACGGTGTTCAGGTATCACACCGGTAATTGTTTTCACTATGTAATTCTATATAGAATAAAAAATCATTAAAAATCAGGTATTCGAATTCATGAAAAAATATTTAGCAGAAAGTGTTAAACGTTACCAGTCACATCAGCTGACACCAAAAAATAGGGTACCTACACGGCATTTTCTGATTTTTTCCATCCGCAAACAGGAATACCCTCAAAACCACGTGTATTCAATGTGTTTATAAACATCCTGTGTGCACCCCAGGAAGTGGCCTCCTATGCCCCGAAAGAAATAGTTCCTGTCAAAAACCTTTAATATTTTACAAAGTACATAAAATATCCTAAGCACAGATACCAAAAATGTAAAAATAGAATAAGGGAAATTAAAAAAAATTCTCACAATAAAAAAAATATTTCTTTATTGTGTATGGAACTACAATTGACTAAGTTCATTTTGATTGGTCAATTACCGGTGTGATACCTTGAAGGACCTTTGAAGTTGTCAGATTTTTTTCATTTTTGCACCTGAGATTTCTTAAATAACTGTCACTAACATCCTGAAGTCTGGGGATCTAATTCCCATTATTGCTGGAGATATGATGCATTTATCTCCCTTACTCCAGAGCTGTCAAGAATACACACTGAGCACTCTGACAGAAGTTTTTTGTGCATATTTTGAAGCAGAATTTCATCCTTAATAAACTAAGCCTGGCAACCAATTTTGTATCCATGGAGAGTATATGCACTGTTCTTCACAACAAACAAAAAATAATTCACAAGTCTGAGACCATTATGCAATTATTACATAACAAAATTGCATTTTACCCTCCTAAGAATGACAGAATTTACAGAAATTCTTAAATATTAGGCTGATAATAAAATCTGCATCTGGTCAATTTATGTTCCAAATAAAGCCTAGGTACTTGTCTACAACCTGCTATGCAGAAGTTTATCTAAAAGCTGTGTTGTAACACAGGGCAGTCCAAATGATATCAGCATCTGGGGAGGTTCTGGACAGCTCTGATACTCCATTAAACTTGCTTTGATGATAAGAAAATGGAGAAAACAATTCAGATGTAATTTATTGTTGTGATTTATGTAACTGGCTTTCTCTGCAGACACAAATTAGCCATGAAATTCCAATTGAACATACATAATTATTCTCTTTTCATTCAATTACTCAGTAATTTCAAAGATGTTTGATGAATTTGCATGATTAATTCAAGATTACAGCTTTTTGTTTCACCAAATTTACATAAAAATTCAACATTTAAATTCAAAAATATAAATCTTAAACATTTTTATGGGTCTTAACACTTTTAAATGTGAATAAATGCAACAAATAAACTAATATCAGGCCATCCTCCATGATTCTTGGAGGTGGGTGGGTGTACAAAAACTGCTGATAAAATTTATAGGAAGTGACAAAAGAAGAACAGGGCACTTTATTAGCTGAATTATGGTTATTCTGATATTTTGATTGTGTAAATATGTCAAATTTCTTCATCACTTTAATTTGTAATTTATTAATATTTCAGTACATTAATGTGCTTGACAAATCATGCTAAAATAAACATCCTGACTGAGACTTAATTTAAAAGAGAGGGTCAACACCTACATAAAAGTGGTAAAATGACAAAAAACATTCTCCGGCAAACTGAAAAATCTTGAATGTCAGCTGCGAAAGCATGGAAAAAGTCTAGAGAACCATAACAGGCATACCATGGTGCTAAGTGACATTCTGCACTATATGTGTGATGCATGGTTGGGACTCAGAATAAGTATTCACTCTCATGCCCTGACAGTATTTATGCATTTTTGGTCATAAGCTTCTTATTTTTGAAAAATTCTTAATAAATTTTATTTGTACTTTACTTTTATTAGACAAATTTAACTCATTTCATTATTTCTATGCCTCCATTCCAGTAATAAATGAATCACTTAAGGTGAATAAAATGAAAGTAAACCCAGTCTCTGTAAAATTTAACACTTTTTAAAAACATGTTTTACTTCTTCACATTTTATCGCAGTTGTTGCTTTTGTTGAAAACTCATTCGCAAACCCAGAATTAGTTTTTTCTTGAAAAAATCAGCCTAAAGCGCTTTTACGGCAAAGTCTGTAGACACTATAATTGACTGCGGTCAGGTGGTGCACAGAGTTTAAAGTCATCTAAAATAAAAAACCAACATTTTCTAACTTCTTTCTACATGTCAGATGCATAATCCTACTTTGAAAGTCATAATTTGGAGTTCTGAGGGTAAAACATGACATATTATTAGTATTTTACATAGAAATCTGTATAAATTAATGTCAACCCTGCTTCTAAATCTAAAAATATGTGCTTTCACACAGAAAGTTAATAAAATGACATATTTTGTTGAAATATGCCTTCATAAAATTAAAATTGCCTTTAATATGGGTGTAGATGATTTTACACAATCACCTTCAAGGTATCACACCGGTAATTGTTTTCACTATGTAATTCTATATAGAATAAAAAATCATTAAAAATCAGGTATTCGAATTCATGAAAAAATATTTAGCAGAAAGTGTTAAACGTTACCAGTCACATCAGCTGACACCAAAAAATAGGGTACCTACACGGCATTTTCTGATTTTTTCCATCCGCAAACAGGAATACCCTCAAAACCACGTGTATTCAATGTGTTTATAAACATCCTGTGTGCACCCCAGGAAGTGGCCTCCTATGCCCCGAAAGAAATAGTTCCTGTCAAAAACCTTTAATATTTTACAAAGTACATAAAATATCCTAAGCACAGATACCAAAAATGTAAAAATAGAATAAGGGAAATTAAAAAAAATTCTCACAATAAAAAAAATATTTCTTTATTGTGTATGGAACTACAATTGACTAAGTTCATTTTGATTGGTCAATTACCGGTGTGATACCTTGAAGGACCTTTGAAGTTGTCAGATTTTTTTCATTTTTGCACCTGAGATTTCTTAAATAACTGTCACTAACATCCTGAAGTCTGGGGATCTAATTCCCATTATTGCTGGAGATATGATGCATTTATCTCCCTTACTCCAGAGCTGTCAAGAATACACACTGAGCACTCTGACAGAAGTTTTTTGTGCATATTTTGAAGCAGAATTTCATCCTTAATAAACTAAGCCTGGCAACCAATTTTGTATCCATGGAGAGTATATGCACTGTTCTTCACAACAAACAAAAAATAATTCACAAGTCTGAGACCATTATGCAATTATTACATAACAAAATTGCATTTTACCCTCCTAAGAATGACAGAATTTACAGAAATTCTTAAATATTAGGCTGATA